CATAATATACAACATTTCTAACATTTTTTCACTAATTTTTAGTAATATTAATTAACTTTCATCTAATTTCACAGTATTTCATTGAATTTCATAACGAAACTTATGATTTATTTTGAAATGGTTTCAACAAGTTTCCAATAACTTTCATTTCACTTTTCATCAATTTCATTACATTTTCAGCAAAATTTTTCCATCAGGGACCCCTGAAAAGTTTGTAATAAATAGTTTAGAAGAATCTTGTAAGGAAATATTATTCGGACCTTATAAAGAAATATTATCAGGACCTCATAAGAAAACATAATCAGCCCTTTCAAAATATTATTTCTTATCCTAAATTGAAGCTTACCGAGCAGAAATGTAATAAAATTTAATTTTTAAACTAATTCTTTAATTGTTAAATTATATAGTCAGCAAAAGTATATTCGGACCATTGAGTTTATCCATGATTCAGACAATTCGATGCCAAATCATAATCTGCTCGCCTTTTATACTAGTGAGTGTTGATTTTTACTTGCGAGGAAGCTTAACGCGCGGTCGCCACGTCGCGGCAGCGAATGGTATTAGTACTATTCAGGCTAATGTTTATCATACACTATTATAAGGGAATTCGTGCAACTAAGGCATTCTTAATAATATCAAAATGGCCCCGATGTGGTAATAGTAATAGTATCCCTTAATTCGTTAAATCAGGGCATTCTTAATAATATTTAATAAAGCCCCGACCTGACAATATAGTAGGGTATCCCTTTGGAAGAAATCCTGTTATCATCCTTATCGGGGCCTTTAACTGCCTGAATTAGCCCTAACAATTTTTTCTTAGAAAATTGTAATTTTTTCTGTTTTTGGGTGGTTTATGTAAGGGCCACCTTAAAGTTTATGCATGAGTATTTTATGCATTTTCTTCTTAAAGTTTGCATATTTTTTCAACATGGGAAATGTAACTAACGTGCAGTCCGTTTCTTTTATGCCTATGGTTTGTAGAATATGTAATATAATGACATGGGTAATTATTTAGATTAGGACACCCTCTCCAATAACCTTAGGCTCTTGACATATATTATAGAGGTCACCCTCCTGAGTGACCTGTAAAAGATTTTAACCTGCGGACGTTGTGTGTTAAAAAGTTATTAAAAAAACAATGTCGACCAATTATATGTATTTTTCAGATACAAATATTAAAAATTTTGAAAAATGTTTTAAATAAAAGTTGTAAATCTCTTTGAAATATACATTTTATGTTCTATTCATTTTTCCTGTGCGAGTAATAGTTTTCGAAAAAAATGATGTACTCTAAATCTTATATCTCTCCTCCCATCTCCATCTGTCGTACGTCATGGAAGTACGAGTACTTGTGTTGAATAATGCATTGGTTTGGGAGACTTGTTGTCAAATCACCCTTCTGGTCAAATTACCCGGTCTTGTAAGGAGCATGCGTGATTGTGCGAATGCGTGTGATTGGGTGGAATGTTCTGGAAGGCGAGTGAACTGTAACGGATGAATTCTTCGTCCTACCGCCCCTACCGGAGGTCAGTCGCTAAGCTACTCTTGTCGTGAGCTGTCGTGTGCCGATCAAGTGTCGATCTCCGTGAATACTTGCAGTTCCGTATATAGTTCTTTGTTCGTTCTATCTCTTTGTTCGTTCAGTTACTTTTCATTAAAGTGAATAATCACGTAACGTGTTTTATATCCCAAACCGATTTAATGTTTTTCTCCTATCAATCCCAAAAGGTTATCCCAATAACTTGCATGGAGACAGTATGTTTCGCCCCCCTGCGGGGGGGCACCACTTTGTTAAGATATAACCTAAGCCAAACTATGTCCGAGGTGTGCAGTGGATCTCGCTTCACATGGAAAGTCGCAAACCCATGTTGTGTCGCTACATTTCGTTAGTATGACAGAAGGTGGTAAGTTGTAAGTGTGGGAAGGAGGTAAGGAGAGAGAGCAGGTGGGGTGGGGAAGGGGAGGGGAAGGGGGAAGGGCGGGGATGGGGCGGGGTGGGGAGGGGGGAGGGTGGTGAGGCGCGCGTAGCGCGCCCTGCTAAACGCACTTTCAACTTACACATAAACCAGACTTTTTTTCCTAATAGCTTTTTAACAAACAACGTCCGCAGGCTAAAATCTTTTGCAAGTCACTCAGGAGGGTGACCTCTATAATATATGTCAAGCCCAAGGTTATTGGAGGGGGGTGTCCTAATCTAAATAATTACCATGAATAACAAATAGTAACAACTAGTAAACTGGTTCACTCATTGGTCGATCAGTTCAAGTGCTCTATTATCAAGTGCACGATGTAAACCAGGCCATAAAAACATTATTCCAAAATTTTTGGCGCTTTCTTTAAAACGAAGTTTCGCTATTTTTTTAAGGATGTATTACCTATACAATCCCAGACAAAAGTGACTTCAATTTGAAATTGATGAAATTCTATGCTTTTATGGGTTAAAATATGTACCATATGTGCTCGTATCATGTAAAGGATTTAAATAATGCCAGTTAATGTGATATTTAGCACTACAAATGAATATATTTGCACAGTTTGCAAATTTTGTGATTATCAACAAAAAACTTTTGGACGTGAATTTCACCTGAAATCAACTGTAAGGAACGAAAAAATGTTGCATATATTAGCAATATTTAATTTATACCAGACATCAAACGATACTTAAAAACACAAGATATGTAAATAAATGTCATTGACATAATATTCACCTTTCTAGCCCTTTATACAAGTCAAAATAGAATGTCTAATATCATATATAATAAGTATGGCAACACCGCACTCCGCTAGTTTACCATTCTAAGTTGGCTGCCCTGCGGTCTCGTACTCGAATGCGAGTTTAAGGTTAGGAAGATCCACTGCCGTATTAAAAAGAATGTCGAAATGCAAGGGAAGGCGCTGGAAAGGCAAATTAGTATCCGAAGCGGTTTATCAACAGAGAATAAAACAAAGTCGAAACTGTAAGACCTTAAATAAAAGTCGCAGTGAATATAATGCGAACTCGAAACTCGAGTCAGAAGAAAAAGATAAATCACCTCAACCGAGCTACATGGAAGGACGCCGCATTGTTGAATTTTCCGTTCTCGCTGAACAATTGTGGTGTGTGTCATGCAAGGAAGTTCTTTCTCTACAATATATAGAAGAGGAAATGCACAGAGGTTTGGGCTCGATATTGTTGGTGAGATGCCACAAGTGTCTACTCATGAATTCAGTCGCCACGGGTAAACAGCACAACTGGGGACGTCGACGCTTGTCTCGTTTCGACGTAAATGCTAAAGCAGTAATTGGTAAGTTCACATAATTATAGAGATACAATTATGTGCTATCTGCTATATTCATAAAAGTTTGTAAAATATTCTATACATTTTATTATGGTTCCGTGGATCCTCCTGATTCTCTTCAATACAAACATAACTTCCATTCGTCTATTTTTAATTGTCCTTCAAGGTATGCTTCATGGTGGATTAGGACATACGCATCTCAACAAACTACTATCCTGTTTAAATATTCCAACTATCAACTTTAAGACATTTAAAAGATATGAGCAAGAGATTGGACAAGCAACAGAGAGCATTGCAAGAGAAAGTTGTCTGAACGCAGCAGATTTGAAGCGGCGGCACACATTGGAGAATAAAGAAAATATCGAACAGCTATTGTAATTATATTGATTTATTTTGGTATTATTGGAGCAGAATTTTTTACACAGTTCCAAGATTCTATACATGCAATTGTATCATAGTTTTGCCTTTATGATTTTTAAGTGATCCGATCAGGTTAAAGAAAATATATAATGATATACATAAATATACAAATATACATAAATATATACATAAATACAAATATACATAAATGTATACATAAATATATACATAAATATATACATAAATGTACAAAATGAAATATAATTAAAAATGTATCAATAAATTTCGTACAAGCGCAGTATTTGTATCATTCATCTTTATGATAAATGCATTTACTAATTCTTTCCGATTGGTATTGCATAGGCCAGAGAGTTTGCAATCCGGTTTCGTGATTCCTAATCGACCACTGGCGAGAGAAAATTGTTCAATCGGTGAAAAGATACTCGAAGTTACTCGAAATGGTCAGGAAAGTCTGTCTAATGAAGATAGGCTTCAAGTAGAGGAAGCGCTGGTAACATTCGATGACGTTGTGCGCATTATGGTTTCATACGATATGGGCTGGAGCAGAAGAGGTACTGGAAGAAATTACGACAGTTTGAATGGATTTGGAGCTATTATCGGTAACATGTCTGGACTTGTTCTTGATTACTCAACTCGTAACAGAAAATGTAAGAAATGCGACAGCGGAAATAATCCAGCCAATCATGATTGTCGATTAAACTTCTGGGGAACTGCAAAAGCAATGGAACCCGACGTTGCAAAGAATATTGTTACTTCTAGTACAGTTCTCAAATCAAAAAATTTGGAAGTTGGAGTATTAATAGGTGACGACGACAGTTCAACTATAGCAGCTTGTCGTGCAGCTAGCTCACATACTATAATTGTGAAGCACTCTGACATAAATCACGCATCTGGAGGCGTCACGAAAGAACTATATAAAATCGAAAAAAGTCATCGAGAGCTAACTAAAGATGGTATATTATATTTCCACCGATGCTTCAAATACGCTTTGGCCCAAAACATAGGTAACAGTACAGCTTTAGCGGATGCCATTCGATGTATCCCTTACCATGCGTTTAATAATCACAGCAAATGTGGTTCTTGGTGTGGATATATAATTGATAACGAAAATTACGACCATAGAATATTACCCCGG